CCAGGATGAGGCATCCCACTCCCGTACATCTTAGTTGTCCTCGTTTTTCAAGGACCGTAACTTCCCCTCCTTGGTGGTCAAGAACGCCCTCAACCGTGTCTCCCACATCTACCGCACCTCATCCCTCACACCCCGTCCACGCAATAAGAACCAAAAAAGAATCCCCCTCGTCCTCACGTACCACCCCACCAACCTCCGGATCCAACGCATCATCCTCCGACACTTCCGCCATCTGCAATCCGACCCCACCACCAAAGACATCTTTCCCTCCCCACCTTTATCTGCTTTCCGGAGGGACAACTCTCTCCGTGACTCCCTTGTCCGCTCCACACTCCCCTCCAGCTCCACCACACCTGGCACTTTTCCCTGCAACCGCAGGAAGTGCTACACCTGCCCCCATACCTCCTCCCTCACCCCCATCCCAGGCCCCAAGAAGACTTTCCACATCAAGCAGATGTTCACCTGCACATCTGCCAATGTGGTATACTGCATCCGCTGTACCCGGTGTGGCTTCCTCTACATCGGGGAAACCAAGCGGAGACTCGGGGACCGCTTTGCAGAACACCTACGCTCGGTTCGCAATAAACAACTGCACCTCCCAGTCGCGAACCATTTCAACTCCCCCTCCCATTCCTCAGACGACATGTCCATCCTGGGCCTCCTGCAGTGCCACAACGATGCCACCCGAAGGTTGCAGGAACAGCAACTCATATTCCGCTTGGGAACCCTGCAGCCCAATGGTATCAATGTGGATTTCACAAGTTTCAAAATCTCCCCTCCCCCTACCGCATCCCAAAACCAGTCCAGCTCGTCCCTGCCTCCCTAACCTGTTCTTCCTCCCACCTATCCCCTCCTCCCACCTCAAGCCGCACCTCCATCTCCTACCGACCAACCTCATCCCGCCCCCTTGACCTGTCCGTCCTCCCTGGACTGACCTATCCCCTTCCTAACTCCCTACCTACACTCACCTTTACTGGCTCCATCCCCGCCTCTTCGACCTGTTTGTTTCCTCTCCACCTATCCTCTCCTCTATCCCTCTTCTATCCGCCTCCCACTCTCTCCCTATTTATTTCAAAACCCCCTTCCCCTCCCCCTTTTCTGATGAAGGGTCTAGGCCCGAAACGTCAGCCTCTCTGCTCCTATGATGCTGCTTGGCCTGCTGTGTTCATCCAGCCCTGCACCTTGTTGTCTCTAATGTTTGTTTGTTTCTTCATATGCTAATCTACAGCACGGAACTGCTTTAGTTACTTGGTGTGTACATAAAGTTAAGCCTTGTATCCTGTTCCTGCTCCTGCCGCAGCCTTGGGCTGCCTCCAGCTCAGGAGCAGCTGCCTGCTCTCACTGCCATCTATACAACATGCTGTACAACTAAGAGATCCAACTCAGGTTATTCGTCACTTCCTGGAAGGAGCCAGTAGCACCGAAGTATAAAGTAACTGTCACCTTCAGAACCACTTCAAAGCGAAGATGGGCTGCCACTCCTGCAGTCCTCAGGCCCCATTGTAGCATCGGTAATAGATTAATCACAGCGTCCCAGGGTAAAAGGAATCCTTGCCACAACACTCACCCCCAAGAAATGGAGGTGGGTGAAAATTCCTGGTCTCCTGCAGACCCCTGTATACTAAGGAGCATTACAGCTGCACCCTCTCCCTGAGCTGTCTGTTCCTCATCCTGCATATCAGACTGCTGCTGCTCCTGAGTTTACCTGATCCTCCTGCATCTACCTTCAAGTTCAGTGACCAACATCCTATAATCATTTTGATATATTTGAGCTTAGTAAGCAGTAAGGCATTGGGGTCCTGGTGATATTACAGATTTGGTAGTGTCAATCCTATCAAGACTCAGGAAGCTAGTTTACAATTTGTTTGGATGGGACACATTGACATCATTTCCCCAAGATGCCAATAGTTCCCTTCTTTGTGATTTTGGATTAAACAGTCTCAATCCACTAACCTCCCTGTGCACGTGTCCGGACATAATTCCAGAATAATATTTTGAAACAATAGTTTCAGTATTCGATTCTACATTATCAATTAAGTCTTGAGCTGCATGTCATGCCAATCAATGCTTATGAGCATATATTTGTCCATCGAGTTGCAAGCCCTTCATACTTTCTGTGCCACCCAAGAAGTGTATTCATTTATACTCAAGATTTGCTGCAAATTTAAGAATGAATTAATGTGACCAAAACAAGAAGGGTCCTGACCTGAAATGTCAACTTTCCTGCTCCTCTGATGCTGCCTGGCCTGCTGTGTTCTTCCAGCTCCATACTTTGTTATCTCTGACTCCAGCATCGGCAGTTCTTGCTATCTCCTTACTCCAAGATCCATATGAAACTTCCAATCAACAAGCAGCCGATTCAATTTGCACTCTGCCGAGCCAACTGAGTCAGGGCAGCTACTGCAGTTGGCTTTAACTGTTTAAATGATAGGTCATTCCTAATGTATTCACAGTAACATCACTTTCATCAATACATCCTAACAGTTAATAGTATCAATAAACAATTCTGGACTATATAATACTTCAAGTCCTGTCTCTCATAAGAAGGGAGGTAAATTAGTCCATCTTGATGAAATCTTAACCATTCCTACAACATGCCCTGTACCTCTAAGAGTCTGTAGCAGTTGTCTCCTTTCTTTCTCTGCTACCACTACCAGGAGAGTGGTCGCCATTACTGCTACCCACCAACTGTCATCAGGGTTACCTGAGAGAAAACAATTAACAGATCTGCTTCTGGCAGCCCTGTGTGCACAAACAGAATGTGAGTTGAGCAGAGCATTGTGGGTGGTATCATTTCTGGAAAGTACCTATCTCATCCCTTTAAAATTTTTCCTTTTACAATCTATCTGTACGAGATATCCTTGTACTAAATCTCTGAGCTAATACACTGGGCTGTTGTTTTCATATTCAGCCAATGTTGCCAAACAGATGCTAACAATGCACAAAGATACTTCCCTTTCTGGAGTGATGGAGTTGTACAGCATGGAAACAGACCCTTCAGTCCAACTCATCCATGCCGATCCAGTATCCTAAATTAATCCAGTCCCATTTGCCAGCATTTGGACCATATTCGTCTAAACTCTTCCTATTCGTGTACACATCTAGATGCCTTTCAAATGTTATAATTGTACCAGCCTCCACCACTTCCTCTGGCAGCTCATTCCATACACGCATCATCCTCTGTGTGAAAAATTTGCCTTTTACGTCCCTTTTAAATCCTTCCTCTCTCACCTTAAACCTATGCCCTCTAGTTTTGGACAATCCCTACCCTGGAAAAAAGAAGTTGGCTAATCACCCTATCCATGTCCCTCACAATTTTATAAACTTCTATAAGATCACCTCTAAACCTTTGATGGTCCAGGGAAAATAGCCTCAGCGTATTCAACATCTCCCTACAGCTCAAACACTCCCACCCTGGCAACATCCTTGTAAATCTTTTCCGTACCATTTCAAGTTTAACAACATATTTCTTAAACCAGGCAGACCAGAACTGAACACAGTATTCCAAAAGTGGCCTAACCAATGTCCTGTAGAGTCACAACATGACATCCCAACTCCTATACTCAATGCACTGACCAATAAATGCAAGTGTACTAAATGCCTACTTCACTACCCTTTCTGCCTGTGACTCCACTTTCAAGGAACTATGAACCTGCACCCCAAGGTCTCTTTGTTCGGCAATACTCCCCAAGATCCTATCATTAAGTGTATAAGTCATGCCCTGATTTATCTAACCAAAATGCAACAAGTCAAATTTATCAAATTTAAACTCCATCCGCCACCCCTCTGCCCTTTCAAAAGGGCACTTTACTTAGCTTTCTGTCCCAATTAGAAATGAAACTTTTTAGGTAGTGACACCTAAATAGCCCAATTCTTGATCTCTATTTTTACACATACCGACAAGAAGGGTTGTCAATCGATTCCAGCAAAATTATTTTTGTTATGTCCTTCTAGTAGAGTGTTGTCTCATCCACAACAGTCCCCTCATACAATTTCTCACATCCCACCAGTAACCATCCTATCTTATTCATCAGTCCTGGAGAAATTTCGTAGTGCAGTAGATTATTAATACAATAACACTAAAAACAAAATGCTTGTTTGTTCTTTATCTTGGCTGACACTTATTTTACCTCAACTGTAACTAGCTAAATTAAGCCACACCTTTCACATCTCAAAATAATCTGAAATTTAAATAAGTGTTTTTGGGCTGACAAGTTCTGTCCAATATCTGATTTCCTTCTCTTCAAAAGGAGACTTTTTAATTCCTGTTCAATGAAACTATCAACACTCAGTGTCTATTATTGTTTTCGAAAACTCCCATTAAATCCAAATGAACTTAATTCAGTTCATCGATTCTCATTCTTTTCAAATGTCTAAATAAATTCTTGAAATTGTTGGGAATCTTGTTACACTTGTAAGAAAAAGGCATAAAAGATCCATTTGGCTCAAGGCAGAATTGACTAATCTAATGGTATAAAATTCTGACTTGCTAGAGGAAGAGTTAACTTGTCTGTGTTTCTCCAGAGACGTGGAGCCCAACAGTTTCCAAATTGTGCATTTGTGTCAGTTTATGTACTTTGTTTTTAAAAATACTTTCCTGAGAAATAGGAGAGCAAGCCTCTGTTTCAGACTCTGCCTTTTTGTTCTAGCACAAAAGCCTGCAATATTTTACATTAATGCAAATTATTTTTGTTGCAAAGTTTTTTTAGCTTCTTTCTCAAACCAATTCTTGCCTTTATTTTCTTTTGATCCCACTGTACCAAACTCGGATTACTTGTTTTCAAGTTCTAGTTAGCAGTATCCAAATTTGAAATTCATTTTCCATTTTGAGAATTGAATTAGGAATGAAATCTTCAAATCTTTAAACTTTATAAGGCTCTAACCCAAGATCAATCCAACTTAGGGTTAATCATGCCAAACATCCCAATTTAGACTATACAACGTTAAAGAGAAAATGACTCTAAATATTTATGGACTTTGAATCTAGATTAAAAACTCACTCAGACATAATAAGAATTGCCGATGCTGGAGTCAGAGATAACACAGTGTGGAGCTGGAGGAACACAGCAGGCCAGGCAGCATCAGAGGAGCAGGAAAGTTGACGTTTTGGGTCGGGACCCTTCTTCAGAAATGGGGAAGGAGGAAGAGAGCTCCAAAATAGAGAGAGGAGGGCTGGAGCTGGGGAAGCTCATGTGTTTGTCAGAAAATCTTGGAATCATAATTCTGGCCAGTAACCATGATCCAGGACTCATTACTTCAAATATTTAGATTTTTATTATCCTTCTCACAAGTTACATTACGTTTTTCTTTCACTTTTTTTCTCAAAATTTCTGAAAGACAATAAGCTTAACCCCCAAAAAGAATCTTAATCTTTTCAACCCAAGCAAAAGGAATCCTGTAAGCATCTGCACAAAGTGCAACAGATTTACAACTTAATTTTCGAAAATATTAAATTGTGACAGGCACACTCACTAAGTTAATATTGAATTAATATTGGAAGTTTTGTCACATCACAATCTCAGCAACACCCCTTTAATTTAATGAGATTTTTTGCTCCAAAAGGAGATTTCGAACTGCTAATGCTGACAGCCACATGGAGGAAGAAAGGGGTCTTTGAATTTTCGCTGCCAAATTATATATTTTCTCTACCTCTTGTGTGATGGACCTTATTACATTCCCATTCCAGAGCAATCCTCCTAGAAATGTCACTCACGTCTACCAAGACATTTCACACACATTAAACACCAACAACTTTAAAACAAACAAGGCCGCACTCAGAAGACTGATAATATCTCCTGGCAAGCTAATAGACGCAGACACAAAGACCCAGGACAAAGCTAACATAAGGACAAGATGTACAAGGTATTATTTAAACAGTGAGCTAGGTTATTGCAGTCTTTCCTGTCATAAAATGATTCACAAAATGTAGAAATTAATTTTTTTGTCACACCTTTACTTGTGGCTTGATGGTAGTTCAAATAACAAATTGTTCTCTTTGTGGTCAAACACACCAAAGCAGGCCAGGCAGCATCGGAGGAGTAGGAAAGTTGATGTTTTGGGTTGGGACCCTTCTTTTGCCACGCCTGCCGTGTTCCTCCAGCTCCACACTGTGTTATCTCTGACTCCAGCATCGGCAGTTCTTACTATCTCCAAGTACCTGGAGTGTCGTTTGTTGAAAGGATCTCGTTGCTTATCCCAGCAGGCGCTAGTAGCAGTTTCTGACAAGTTCCCCTTTAAATTCCAACATACTAAGCTCACAGATGAGTGGTCTGCTTCCCTTTACCAGCTTCTCATTTGTCTCATTCCTGTTTGCCATGGCCGATTTTACAGTTATAGTTTGATGATATTCTCTCTCTCTGTAAATGACCTCTCTTCTTTCACTCTGCTGCTTCACTCCCAAGGAAACGGTCTGCCCTGTTATACCCCATAGCCTTTTATCTAATTTGCTAAGAACAGTTGTTTACATTCTTGTTTCGCTAAGGAATCAAACTGCAATTGTGGTGCCAGACCTTCTCTGATTACTGTATCTTAGACCTCAGGTCCCCATTAGTAGCTATTTATTCTCCCAGGCTAATCACTATCCACTCCTTTGTCTGTCCAACTGCTTTGGGCTCTGTCTCCATCTTTCATTTACTCCTTATCCCCTCACCCCACCCTATCTTCTGCATAAAAAAACAAGCTTTTCCTAGCTACTATCAGTTCTAAAGAAGGGTTACTGGATGCAAAATGTTAACTCTGATTTCTCTCCACAGATGCTGCCAGACCTGCTGAGATTTTCCAGCAATTTCTGTTTTTGTTTCTGATTTCCAGCATCCATACTTCTTTCGGCTTTTATCTATCATGTCCATCTCTGAGTCAAAGGACACATCAATGCTTTATGCAGAAGTGAACCCATGGGTTCTGGCAGCCTTTCAGACTGTTCCAAGGGGCAGGGCATATTTTGCTCCAACATCATTTGCAAATTCGTAGCTTTCATTTGGTCCACATCTTTGTTCAGGACCGTCACACTTACCTGAACTTTATATGTCACTTGTCCTGACCTTGTGTCAACCATGCCTCTTACCCACGTTGGGCTGTTTTCGTGATTTTTACAATAAAATCCATTCCCTGTATCAAACAGTCTCTCTGGCTTGGTGGAGTCTTGTGTCCTGCATCGGCATACTTGATGCATTTCCCCACAATCCCTGCCCCAGTCCGGAAAGCTCATTAACCTGGTGCAGAGTCTTCTCCCCATTAGCAACTCTGCCATTGCTATCCCTGTAGTTGTATGTGGGGTGGTCCTATAATCAAATAAGAACCCTGGCAGCTTGGTATCTAGCAAGGCTATAGGCTGTTTCTTCAAGCCAGCCTTCAAAGTTTGGACTGCTCTTTCTGCAGGCCACTGGAACATGGGTGGTATGGAGTTGTCCTTATATCTTAAATCCCGCCGAGCTGGTTTGTTGTTCCGCAGACATTTCATTACCATGCTTGGTAACATCCTCAGTGCAGCCTCTGATGAAGCGTCAGTGTGTTTTCCCGCCTGGTTTTTAAACTCTGGGGTCCGTTGCACGAGCACGAGAATTCCTGGAAGCATGGCACTCCACGAAGCATGCTATTAATAAACACATTGAATTCGACCCCATATACATTCCACTATGGAGGAAACCCGGAAGTGAGGCAATCCATCGCAACAAACCCCAGAGTTTAAAAACCAGGCGGGAAAACACACCGACTCTTCATCAGAGGCTGCACTGAGGATGTTACCAAGCACAGTAACGAAACGCCTGCGGAACAACAAACCAGTTTGGCGAGCCAACCAACCTCAACACGCACAACCCTAGCTACAGATCTACTCCATAATCTTAAATCCCATTCGACTTTAGGAAGTACCCAAATTCCCTGCTGGTAAACTATGGCCCATTATCTGTGACCAATACTTCCAGGACTTTGTGTATTTAAAAAGAAGCCCCTCAGAGTCTGAAAAGTTTCAATAAGGTCTCTCTAATCTTTTTCAACCTCAATGAGTGCAAGCTCAACCTAATCACCCCCTGCTCAAAAGAAAGTCCTTCAATAGCTGGAGTCAATCTAGTGAACCTTCTCTAGACTGCATCTGTAGTGATTATTTATTTATCTATTAATTTATTTTTATTCATTTTGTGGGATGTGGGTGTCACTGGCTGGTCAACATTTATTGAACGTCCCTAGTTTCCCTTGAGAAGGTGGTAGTGAGCTGCCTTCTTGAACTGCTGCAGTCCTCCTGCTGTAGGTTGACCCACAATGCTATTAGGGAGGGAATTCCAGTATTTTGACCCAGGGACAGTGAAGGAACACCGATACATTTCCAATTCAGGATTGTGAATGGTTTAGAGGAGAACTTGATTGGGGTGGTGTTCCCATGCATCTGCTACCCTTGTCCTTCTAAATGGAAGTGGCCGTGGGTTTGGAAGGTGCTGTCTGAGGATCTTTGGTGAAGCTCTGCAATGCATCTTGTAGATAGTACATACTGCTGCTACTAAGTGTCGGCGGTGGACGGAGTGGATGCTTGTGGATGCAGTGCCAATCAAGCGGGCTGCTTTGTCCAGGGAGGTGTCAAGCTTCTTGAGTGTTGTTGGGGCTGCACTCATCCAGGCAAGTGGGGAGTATTCCATCACACTCCTGACTTGTGCCTTGTAGATTGTAGCCAGGCTTTCGGGAGTCAGGAGCTGGGTTAGTTGCCGCAGTATTCCTAGCCTCTGGCCTGCTCTTGTAGCCATTGCATTTATGTGGTGAGTCTAGTCAAGTTTCTGATCAATAATAACTCCCAGAATGTTGATAGTGGGGGATTCAGTGATGGTAACACCATTGAATGTCAAGGGGAGGTTGTTAGGTTGTCTGTTATTGGTGATGGTAATAGCTTGGCATTTGTGTTGTGTGAATGTTACTTGCCACTTGTCAGCCCAAGGCTGGATATTGTCCAGATCTTGTTGCATTTGGACATGGACTGCTGCAGTGTCTGAGGAGTCACGAATGGTGCTGAATATTGTGCAATCATTGACTAACATCCCCACTTTGGATCTTATGATGGAGGGAAGATAATCAATGAATATCAGATGAAGATGGTTAGGCCTAGGACACTATCCTGAGGAACTCCTACGGAGATATCCGGGAGCTGAGATGTCTGACCTGCAGCAACCACGACCATCTTCCTGTGCATCTGGTATGACTTGAACCACTGGACAGTTTGTCCCCTGACACACATTGATTCCAGTTTTAGGACTGCTTGATGCCAAACTCAGTCAAAATGCCTTGATGTCAAGTGCTGTCACTCTCACCTCACCCCTCTGGAATTGAGCTCTTCTGTCCATGTTTGAACCAAGACTGTAATGAGGTCAGGAGCTGAGTGACCTTTGCAGAACCCAGTCTGGGCATCACTGAGTACGTTATTGCTGAGCAGGTGCTGCTTGATAACACTATTGATGACACTATCCATCACTTTACTGATCATCGAGAGGAGACTGATGGGGCAGTAATTGGCCAGGTTGGATTTGTCCTGCTTTTTGTGTACAGGACGTAATTGTGCAATTTTCCATGTTGTCGGGTAGATGCCACTGTTGTAACTGTACTGGAACAGCTTGGCTAGGGGAGCAGCAAGTTTTGGAGCACAAGTCTTCAGTACTATTGCAGGAATGTTGTCAGGGCCTGCAGCCTTTGCAGTATCCAAAGTCTCCAAACGTTTCTTGATACCACGTGGAGTGAATTGAATTAGCTGTAGTTCTGGGGAATGCTGGGGAATACTGGAGGAGGCCAAGGTGGATCATTCACTCTGCACTTCTGGCTGAAGATTGCAGCGAATGTTTCAGCCTTATCTTTTGCACTGATGTGCTGGGCCCTTCCATCATTGAGGATGGGGATATTTGTGTAGCTTCCTCCTCCAGTGAGTTGTTTAATGGTCCACCACCATTCACGACAGGATGTGGCAGGACTGCAGAGCTTAAATCTGAACCATTGCTTGTGGGATCACTTCATTCTGTGTATCACTTGCTGCTTATGCTGTTTGGCATATTAGTCCAGTTGGCAGCTT